GGCTGAGGCAGGAGAATGGCGTGAACCCGGGAGGCGGAGCTTGCAGTGAGCTGAGATCCGGCCACTGCACTCCAGCCTGGGCGACAAAGCGAGACTCTGTCTCAAAAAAACAAACAAAAAAACAAAACGAAAAAAAAGAATGCCCAATCCAGTCAGGTAAAGAAGTGAGCTAATTCCAGTCAAGCCGTGATGGAAATTAGCTGCAACCTCACCTAAGCTGCAACTCAGATCAGATGATGAAATGTTGAAAGGGAATACAAACCGGCTGAGAAAGAAACACGGAAGGTACAGGGAGAGCACAAGGTGGGAGAGATGTGAAAAGCTAAATCCCAGGTCAGGCTGGACACGGTGGCTCATGCCCATAATCCCAGCACTTTAGGAGGCGGAGGTGGGTGAATCGCCTGAGGTCAGGAGTTCCAGACCAGCCTGGCCAACATGGTGAAACCCTCTCTCTACTAAAAATACGAAAATTAGCCGGGCATGGTGGCACATGCCTATAGTCCCAGCTACTCGGGAGGATGAGGTAGCAGAATTGCATGAACCCAGGAGGTGGAGCTGAGATCATACCACTGCACTCCAGCCTGGGTGACAGGGCGAGACTCCGTCTCAATTAATTAATTAATTAATCAGTCCCAGGTTGAAGGCAGGAGCTTGGATTCCCCATTGACAGAAGCGAACTCAACTCTAGCAAAGGGCTCAGTGCACCTGCGCTTGGGTAAGCACAGAATTTATTGAATTCTGGAATCCTGCTATAATTTAACACTCGGTCTTGGTGCTAGGCTAAATCTCTGGTGGAGATCACGGTCACAGACCTTCAACATGATAACCTCTGTTGGCCTGAGTGTGTTTATTACTAAAGGTGGTAGAGGGAAAAAATCAGAATATCAAGCTTTACAAGTTGAAGAATAAACTTAATTTCAAGCTTAAATTTTGTAATCTTTGGAATACTGTGTGCATTGTAATTAAAACAATTTGAAAAGTTAAAGAAACTCTTGGTTCTAATTTGAAATATATAATTGATGTTAGACTTGCAATTTTAATTTGAAAGAAGAGTGTTGAAGTCTCATCAGAATTTGAATTTTTTTTTTTTTTTT